TTCCCCACTGCTGTCCAGGCCAGTAAAAAACGCATGTTTAGCGTATACACATTAGCACAGCTGTCTTTTTCGATGGAAAAGGTGTATTGGTGACTGCATTTCCTATTCTATAATTGAGTCTGCTAGTTGTTTTTCTCTTTTGAGCAGTGTTTGAATTCGAATCTCACGATTTACGAAACTTGCAATTTTTCAAAGCATGGTTCGAATTCGAACCATAATGCTAAAGTGCTGGCATCAGAGGGTTAAGCTTAAGTTATATTTATCATATGACCCGTATTTCGGCCCTACGCGCGCTCTCACTGAAACCTTTGGAAAATGGTCACGTGATGGGGTCTGTTAGCCTTTTCGCGACAGGTCCGTACAAACCCGTATTTTCCCGGCTTGAAGTTCCGCGCGCTTTTATTTATTTTTTATATTAAAAAAACGCTGTCATATGATAAAATGCTTATTGACTGAGTTAGGTTGGGCAGTACGGGAAAATATTTGGCTCGCTGCGCTCAGTCCGTACGGCATAACCTCGAGCCAAATATTTTCCCGTACGGCCCTCCCACTCAGTCAATAAGTACATAATATTTGCACAGTCTATTGAAAGTGAAATGCAGGAAATAAAGTAAGAATATTCACGTTTTTGAATTTTCTCACCTCAACAAACGTACAATACAGTTTCTGCAGAATCGATGTCCACACTGCGTTTGTACTGGTTCTCTCAATCCAAGCAAGCAGATGGGACATACGTAATTACTCTCTAACGCTGGATCAAAATGTTCATCGATTCCTTCGGTGCTCGCTGTAACTCGAGGATCGTCATTCAACAAACGATTCATTTCTTCTAGCTGTAATAGATGGACGAATGCAATGTTGAGGAGATGTTAGCCTGAAATTGTACCGTAATATTTGCTGGGACTTTCCTTACGCAGTCATTGACTGCATGTGACTCAGACTGAATAGATAACAACAATGCTCAAAAACAATAAAGTTAGGGTGGACTTCTGGAATTGTTGTCTCGAATATTAGTTTTATTGTCATTGAACTTGCTTAGCCTCAACTTATACGTATGTAAATAATAATTAGGTTCAGTTATAGAATTAGGAAAGTTTCAGTATCAACATGGCAATCACCATTATATTTTCTGTTAAAATTGGTTTTTGTCGAAATTTTTACAGACCCACTGAGTTTCAGAGTCAACGGTATTTATCACGCCATTAATAGTGTGCCGAAGCACATTTTCAGTCATATTGTTGTGATTACTGGTTCCCCGAAGGGAAGTTTGAGTCTGCCGAAGCAGAGTTAAGATCACATTGCTGTGATTACTGGTTCCCCGAAGGGAAATTTTAGTATGCCGAAGCAGAGTTAAGATCACATTGCTGTGATTACTAGTTCCCCGAAGGGAAGTTTGAGGCCCCGTCCACACTAACGCGTTTTCGTTTGTTTCAATAGGTGTGAAAACGAATAGATTGAACTGCGTCCACACTAGCGTATTCAAGCGTATCAGTGTGGACAGTTGAAAACACAAATACGGTCATATCGATCAAATTACATGTCTTCTGCGATAAAGAAAACTCAATAAAACCAGAAAAAAACTGCTCAAGACGCTTTCATCTGGACAGATGATGAAGTTGAGCGTCTGTTAACAGTTACAAACGAATAGAAGGTTTCAAAACGTACGAAAGCGTGGATTGGGAGTCAGTCCAAAGCAAATTTGCAGACATTCTCGAACGATTCAAACAACACATTCCATCGACAGAGGAAAAAAACTCCCAACCGCTTTCATCTGGAAAAGACTTGCCACAAAGCAGACGATATTACTAGTACTAAGAATATTTTAACTACAAAACTTAAATCTATAGGACCAAGGGGAACGATGACGTCATCGTTTTCAAAAGGAATCGTTTTCGATGAAAACGCTCAGTCTCCCGAAGGAGATTTTGAGCGCCATTTCTGGTTTTATTTGTTCCCCTAAGGGAATTAAAGAACGCCATACGGCCAGCACTGGTCTTGTGTGATAAGCCAAGCGGACTTTTGTTGGCAAACAAACCACATAAGCTTAAAGCTCCCCAAAATCTGGAATATTCTTTAGAAATACAAATTTGACTGCAAATGCATAGAAAGTTGTGCCTATTTCTAGACACAAAAAAGGTTGAATACATTGTATTGTGATAATAAAGAAGAACAACTCACCTTCTATTAAAGTCACAAGCGATCACGAGCACGTCGTTTGAGAAAAGAGAACGCACATGGTCAGATCAAATCAATTTGTCCTCGTAAATTTCAGTCGTCGTGATTTCGTTGAAGATTTCGTACAGGCTCGTAATACGAGATTACTTCGACTTGGTCGAAATTACTTCGATTTGGTTACAGACACTCACTCACTCAAACCCGATGACATACTGACGAAAGCCTTCCCAGAAGGCCTTTCGTCACAAAAATTAGGTAAAACCTAATAGCGGAGCTCCCAAAAGATATGCATGTTGGATGAAGATGTGATGAAAGACACATTGGTCAGATTTTTAGTACATGTTTTGTCAATACTAATTTATTTTTGCTAACAAAAAAAATCCATGGCACTACATTAAATAATTACTAAACTTTTTCTCTTCAGCTTTGTTGATGGAAATCAGTAATATATATAATTATATGTAAAGAAAACCACTTATTTTGAATTCTTGTGGTTATTTACCAAAATAAAACTTCCGTAGATAATCTTACAGAAATCATAAATTAAT